CAGAAATTTCTACCCACGTGACTGATAACCGAACGCAAAAAAACATTCCTTATCGCTAGTTATATATCAATTTCATTTATAAATATTCATGAAAATAATTTTTAAGAACATAGATAAATGATATGAAAATGTTTTGTCGTGAGAAATATATATATTTATCATATACTTGTATAAAATATTACTAAAATTTTACAGTTCAATAACATTTAAAAATATTAAAAGGCTATGAAAGGATTACTAGGTTTATTGATCAGATTCCTAAGAATTTCCTCAGCGGGCTGATAAAGGAACCTTTATTGACTGCTTCCGGAATGTTATCACATGCCTTTCCGTTAATTTCCGTGACGTTTATCACATGCAACTTCGTGCATTTCTTGAAATTTGTTCGAAACGACAACACAGTGCGGAAAACCGCAAGTGATTTAAGACTTTTCACAAAATGGTTGAGGAGCAAATTTCAAACTAAGAACATGATAATTGTTGTGACAAGATAAATAAAATGCTTGTAATATCAATAAAAACAATTAAAGTTAAGAAATTTGTATTTGGTTGTCTGTAATTTATTATCTAACAATTCATGGAAAGACAAAATTTTAATTAATAGTTCTTGTCTGTATTTCTTCTGTTGAAATATATAAAAAAAAAGATAATTACATGTCATTTATCATATCAGACCCTTTATCGGCCCGCGTTCATGATATCAGCCCTCGAGCCTGCGGCTCATGGGCTGATATCATGACCTAGGGCCGATAAAGGGTCTGATATGAAAAATGCCATGTAATAATCTATACATATATAATCAATAACAAATCAAGAATACCAAAAATTTGAGTTAACGCATGCGAAAGAACATCTCAAGAACGTTTTGCGGGAAAATATGAATGCTTTCTCAAATCCAATCTATTAGAAAAATCGAATTATTACAGAAGAGTGTCCACCATGCACTTACACTGCACTATTATTAGAATAGTAGAATAGAATAATATACAAATGGATGAAAATTATATATACATGTTACTGTTATTAATATACAAATATTAATATAATATAAAACAACAAAGCAGAGTATACTGATTTTTATCACTACAATATAATAGTTATTACGGTGAGGTTGAATTCCCTGTCATTCATTCATCATCCACGCACTAACTTGTCTCTGAAAAAATATATCTATGTACCTTAACCTCACTTTCAGGTATAGAGATGTGATTTTTTTTTCTGAGACAAGTGTTTGTGACAATCCACAAGAACTTGCGGTCATCCGATGTTCAGTACTTCAGTACTTTGATTCAATCTGCAGTGGATAGGTTCCACTTCTCATTCTAGAGATTGCATAACGTTGTTGTCTTGACAATAAAATTGAGAATGGAAATGGGGAAAATGTCAAAGAGACAACAACCCGACCAAAGAGCAGACAACGGCCGAAGACCACCAATGGCTGACTTCCCATACGATTGGGCTTCGAAATTTGAATGTTAAAGTTTGAATGTCCGTAACTTTGGCATATTGTTTGACATCTATTTTCCAATTTTCGTAGAAATTATATCCATCGTCATGATTTCAGAAAGATTAGCTATGAACTTTCTGCTTAGTTCATCAGTTGTATTACATTAAACATATTATTTAGTCCACAATTTTCCATCAACTGTTTTAGATCATTATACCAAGTGTTTGTATGTGTGGTGAGTCCCAAGCAAAATTTCGAAAAAGCAATCTACTTGAGTTCATACTCGTGATTCGAAACCACACTGGCGCAGTATAATAATATTACACCACCTACGAATATAAAGATGTGTCCAGCCCATGTCACCACAAATTGCTGGATTCGGTGCACTTTTTCCGAAACCAAGAAAAGTTCTAATAGCTTTGTTCTGGAGACCCTTGTTTATCGTATACCTTGTAGCCCCAAACGTCTAATAAATAGCCAATGACAGGTGTCATCATACTCCCGAAAAGATTAGTGAACGTTAATCTTGTCCATCAATCTGGTAATATTTTAACGTTAGGGCGCCAATAGTTTTGCTACCTATGATAATCAATTCGTTCACACTGTCCGCATAATCTATCGTTTCCGATATCATGAAGCCTAAGTATCTGTATCGCGATGTGAAGTCAGCAGTTTTATTTCCAAAGATAAACTTGTAATTTGACTGTTCAGTGGAAACTATCAGTCCCGAGAGTATCATCAGCTCAGTAGTCAGTACTTCTGTACTGACATGCATGATTTATAACAAACCTTTCTAAAATTGTCCATAAATAAATTTTGAAATTATAAAGATACTAAGGTTTCAACTCCCTCAGGCAAAGTTGACTTTGGATGGATTTGGCTATTTTTATATGTCTTTTTTGGTTATACATCCTTGGCTTGCAAATATTTGGCTTTGAGCGTTCCAGATGAAGGTAAATCAAGAAAAGCGCTTCGGACTCATGAACTTTATAACGTGTTGTTTTCATTCTTTAAGGCTTTTGGACGTGCAGTTTTGTGTTTTATCACAGTTCACATGTAAATTCCATTTACAAGACCAGTCAATTAGCTTTGACATTTGACACTGTAGACTTTTCTCTGAGTCTGAAATCAAGACAATGTCATCTGCATATAGCAATATACTGATCTTAAAGTTTTAATTAAGGTTGACACCATAATGTAGAGAGTTATAAATATCAACTGATAAGTCGTTTATAAACAAAGCAAACAGTGTAAGAGCCATAATGTCCTCTTGTCCAACCCCGATTCCACGGAGAACCAACCTGTCACATTTCCGTTCAATCGTATACAACTTGAAACTTAGTACACATGTTCCCTATGAAATGATCTTTCTAATTTTAATGCCAAATTAGAGTTTTGACTCCAATTGCACGGTCCACTGAACATAGAAAATGATAGTACGATTGGGGCATCCGTGTTCTATGGACACATTCTTGTTTGTTGATTCCTTTCATCCCTTTTAATGTTTTAATGACACAAAAGACAGAATAAAATGAATTAGCTCTCATATAATAGAAGCTATCTCAAGAATAAAAAGGCCATAACTTAAAATATATAACCATAATACACCGTAACACGTAACGTTTTACGGCCTTCACGTAGTATTGATTGATGGGTTGGTTGATTGGTGTTTAACGCCACTTTCAGAACTATTGCGCTATTTCGTGGGGTCAGTATTTATTGGCGGAAGAAGCCGGAGTGCTCGAAGAGAACCACCGACCTTCGTAAGGAAAACTGACAATCCTAGTCAATTAAGATCGGAGTCGAACGCACCTGCCACGTGCCGGATTCGAAGATACAGTAGTTCGACGATTAGACCACGCGGCCACCGAGGCCCTTGCCTCCACACAGTAAGTGATACACAGTCGATGAATATAATAGAAAAAAGAAATATGTTTTTTTAAATCATGAAACTTAACCCTACAGTCACTTTGGCTAAATCAAAGGTAAAGAAACGTCGCTGCATGTAAACAGTCTTTATTTGGGCGCAGACATGATGGTTCGATCCAAACATACGTATATCGCTGTTAATTCTTCACATTGACCCTGAACTTTAAATTTATTGATTTACAACTCTTTATCGTTATAATTAAACTACCTTTTATAGTCGACTGTACGATGTGTGTTTTTCTCATTGTTGAAGGCCGTACGGTTGCCTATAATTGCTTACATCCACTCCATTGGAACTTTGGTGTATAGTTGTCTCATTGACAATCATACCCCATCTCCTTATTTTTATATAATTCGGTTTTTGCTCGTTGTTGAAGGCGTACAATTACCTATAGTTGTTTGCGTCCTCTGGTATGTTGAATAGTTGTCTCCTTAGCAATCATACCGCATCTATCTTGTTTTTATATGACAAGATATGGTAAAGGCTTTTTTTTATTGTTTACGACCATTAGGTTAGACGAGATAAGTCAGACTTATTGTCAAGCCAGGATTTATCGTTTTAGAAATACCTGCTTCAATTCAGTATCAGACCCTTTCCAACTGATTTTCAGTATCAGGCCCTTTCCAACTGATTTTTAAAGTTTGTTCTTATGTTGTGTTTTTACTACATTCTAAGTAATAAGAACAGGACGCCAAAACTAGCAAATGACTACCTGTGCATACGAGTTCTTTCGAAATTTTTTAAGAAGCTTTTTTCAGATTAGTATGAAAGTTGAATAAATAAACGTTGGATTTTGTAATGAAATTTTTTCTTGTCCACTTTCTAAAAATAATATATCCTTGAGCAGCAAGACAAATCAATATTTGAAAGAGAATTTCAGAATTTAAACATGGGCAATATCTAAATAGGATCGCATTATTTGTATATGAGGTAGGCATGGCATAATTTGTTAAATTTTTACGTTAGATATGCAAAAAGGAGATTCGGGATTACGCAAATGAGAGAATTACCGACAGACCCCCAAAAAAGGGACAAGAAATATTTAGAGGTGTCCACACAATGTCTACAATCATAGAAAAGTGTCTATATAAAAAAGGTCAGGCTATAGTTCGTCCCATATTTAGAAAAACAGTGAATTTAACTTAAACTTTAAAATTTAAAGCACTTTACCCTATATAACAGAAAACTAAAGCACAAGTAAAACAACGATAAGTAAAACAAATCACAGAGCTTCTGAAGCCATGCAAGCTCATACTTCTCAGCCTACTTTATATTTGAATCATGCTTTCCTGCACTGAAGTATCAGTGGCTCTACTTCGGGATTGATTTCATAAAACAATCGTAAACAGAACGCCAAAAACGCGATCTTGTGCAATGCCAACAATTATTTACATATAGAATTTCTAGCAACACAGAAATAAAACAAATGGCCTTGTAAACAATGTTTCAAACTATTCAACTGTAAATTAGAATTTTCTTAATTATTACACAAAACAAATGTAACGTAACGTAATTAGTCAACTTGTTTGTCCGTAAAATGATGATTGGTTGATTGTTGGTTACTTTACGTCCAGTGGCAAACATTTCATTCCTTTTAATGATACAAATGATGTGATTAATATATAAATAATGATCATAGTTTAATGTAAACATTAGATTTGTATACATAAATATGTAAAAAAAATATAGAAAACAAATATATTTTCGTATAAAAGAAAAACAAAATGCGGTATGCAAAACAACAATGTAAGCTTATTGTTCTAATATAAACAGGGTATATGCTACGACGCCTTCCTATTTTTAACACGTATATCTTCAATGCTTGATTTATCATTTCCTCTTCTGTTTCACACGTATAAAGTCAGTTCGTATTAACTTCAGAAAGAAACCAACATTAATAACCCATATAATTGTCGCCGATAAAGATAAAGTTGTAAAATAAAATATATGTACCCGCATTAAAAAATATTGTGGATAAATCGTGGACACAACAAAAGAAAGAGGAATTAATCGTAAAATGAAAAAAGAGACCAGATTTACAACTGAAAATATGTGATACTGTAATGAATCGGACGAAAAGCCAATAATCCTCGTTAGTTTCCTAGCGTGGAGTAAGAAGCTGCTGAATTCAGACAGTAAACTCAAATGGGCATATCCGATTCCAACCTTGGCGTGCCAGTAATATCCAAATGAAAACAAAATCTGAAAAATAAAATACAATTACAATTGTTTTACTTTGTTATGTACAAAGCAGCAAATTGTGGTCGTTCCAGCGGGTCTTTTCCACCTCGGACGTTAATATTACGTTAGCTAAATTATTAAACATATAAATCATGCAACTTCGGACTAAACGGTTGTTTATGAACAGTGCAGTCATCTCAAAAAGAGTTTAAATAGACCGAAGCGAATCCAAGATCCGTGTATACTACTCAATAAAAGGTTTTGCAACACCTGATTTTTAACAGCACGTTACAAGTTCTTGAAATTACATATGAATAGGGAACAAAAATTAAATTAAACTTGTGGCTTAATTCAGGAAACTATTGTCTTTACTATTGTAAAAAACGGCTTTTTTTCTTCGATATTTTAAAAACAGCCGGCATGAGGCGCCGACATTAATTGATCAAATCCATCAATAAATGACTTGAGATTTTAGAAACTTTTAACATGCTGTTAAAAATTGGGTGAAGTGAGTCTTACATAGTTTTTTGGATATTACCGAATGTTTCATAATCTGTCATTTGGTCCAGAGTGGTATGCATTATTTGTTATGTAATAGTGTACCGAGAAAATATTCAAAACAAAGAAACAAGATTTATTTTTCATCGTAAACATTTAATGCCTTCCATTTACTGAAACATAATTTTTTTTCAAAACTTCTAAGTAAGGGGTCAGTAGCAAACCATATAACTAATAATATCTTATCATATACTTTCGGTTTTTGATTACTTTGTATGCAAGCCTGTACTTGTATTTGGTATTCTTTTATATAGAAATAAAAAACAACAAAAAAAGAAAAGAAGAAACTAGAACGTATCGACATATAGCTACAAATTACATATCCGGTAAATGAAATCAAGTCTTAAACGGCCATTTTGATCTTTCCATTATCATGAAGTCTGAATCTAAAATTTGAAATCTTGTTTAGAGTTTAAGCAATTTTTCAGATATGTTCTTATTGTAAATTCAGAACTATTCAGACATTTCGCTTGCAGTCAACCAAATACTGTTCAGACAAATTGGAAATAGACTGTACAGGTCTTAATTGACTGCAAGCGAAGTGTCTGAGCAGTACTAAACCGGCTTACTGATTTTTTTCTTCAGTTTTTTAAGACTTGTTCAAACAAAATTCTGTTTCAAATAAAATTGATTTACTAGTGAATGGCAATCAAGACAGTTCTACGGTCCGTCTGAAGTGCGGTGTGTGAATGTTTGCTCCATGATGAAATGAAAGCGTTGTTCATTTGCTTTTGGTTTTATCAAGTGAACAAATAATTTTGTGTTAAGAATCAATACAACATGTATCTTCTTTTTATTATAAGGCTTTATAAATGTAAAAATAAGAAGATGACAGAATATATGGTCCAAACTTTAGAGTACACACATGAAGCTGAACATGTTTTAAGACTCTGTAAAGAAAGATATACAGAAGGAAAAAGAAGATTGGTAATGCGGCCTTTGATCTATTTAAGCAAGTAAAAAATACTTACAACAAAATGGTGTATAATTATTTCTTTGTTTTTCTTTATAACCCTACTTAATACAATATCCATTGCGTCGTGGAAGAAATACGCTGAAATAAATCAAGAGATATCATAATCATCTTTAATTTCCATATACATATTATATCCTCTTTTCCTCAATTGTGACATCACCGAATGAAACTTGACACCAAATTTGTTAATATCATGAGACACGCGACGGGTGTCACCTGTGGAGCAAGATCTATTTATCCTTCATGAGGTATAAAACCACTAATTCGTAACCGAACAGAAAGAACATACTGGAAAGTAGTACATATTTTAAACAAAATAGGTCCTACGCATAGCTGTTACTTTGTCAATCAGTAAAATATTTGCGTAATTTTGGTACCAAATGAAAGCTTAAGGACTTGTGATCACTGTAGAACCTTGTCAAAAGGTTATTGTGATTAATAAAAGAATATATGAAATAATGTTTGACTCCCTTTGGTATCTTCCGCCTCTTTTTCACAATACATAATGTATTCACTCAAGCAAGCTGGTTCTATTTTAGGCTAAATCTTAGAACGAGGTTTAGTATTACCAATTCATAAGTGCTTCACTTTCCAAATATTTGGCATCAAGTGTATTTGATGGATGTCATTTCAGAAAGTAATGTGCTAAATTTGTTAATCAACGGAGGTGTGATAAATGTTAGAATTATACCAGTTCAAATCGGACAGTGTTATTCATTGGGAATGTATATCTACGTAGTCTCTGTTGTAATAACTTAACCTTCGTCAAATGTGAAATTGTAGAATTATACCAGTTCAAATCGCACATTACTATTAATTTTAGATGCACATTAATGCAGTCTCTGTTGTCAATACTTAACCTGCGTCAACTTTGAAATTTTAGAAATATACAAGCGTGGTTCGGTTTTTAATTTGTATTACGTTAAAGATTGTTTTAGCAAAATCAGAATAGATTGATAGGATTCATTTTACATCATCATAATCATATTGATGAAGGATATCTGTTAACCGAAATATTTATTGATACTTATATTTACTGTTTCCTTTTTTTAATATTGATGGTGTTTTGTACACTTTTTAGACGTATATATAATTTATTTATTGTGTACAGTATCGTTTCTAATATCTAGACGTCAAATATATATATATATATATATACAAGTCTAAATTGAAAACAACGTCCAAACCTATGATTGCGTTGGAAAAAACTGCAAATTTTATACGTGTGCATGCAAAACAAATTTCTTGGTAGAGGGATATTTCGTTTCAAATTTAGCCCAACAATGTTAGATCTTTAAATTTGCGTTATATATATATATATATATATATATATATATATATATATATATATATATACTATTATTAACATTAACGAAACACATTTTACTGCACCAGATGCGCATTCCGATGATAAATATCTCTTCAGTGAAAGCCGAGGCCGAAATATTTGAAATATCAAAATTTACACAAAGGTTTTATGATCTGAACAAATTAAAAAGGACCTTAAGTATAGCCAAACCCGGACATATACTGGTTCCTTAAACAATACACATGTTATATGAAGTATGCAGTTAAAAATCACGACTCCTGATTTTACCAGTAATTTAACAGGAAAAACGTATTATACTAATTCTTTCGAGCCTCTGGACTGTTCCACGGACAATGTCGTGTACGGAATTGAAAGTACTTTGTGTGGACTACTTTATGTTGGTGAAACTCGACAAACTTTGCGTAAAAGGATGAATCAACACCGGTCTGATAATAAGGATCCGCAATTCAGGGTTCTTTATAACCATTTTAATCAACCGGACCATGATCCTTCTTTATCTATATGAAAGAACGCATCATCGAGAAAATTTATCACCACACAAATAGCCCTGTACCTAGTACTCCTTTCCGAAAAAATAGAGAAAATTTCTGGATAAGGGAACTAGGTACTGCAATGCCATATGGTTGCAATGATAATGTCAAAGGAGTAGGAAATTTGTCAAGTCCAGCCTGCAGTGATGGTAATGTATATACTAATGAGTTTATTTAATACTACTTTACAAAACCAACTTAGTCATGGGCAAAAACATTACTATCGGCCTAATGTAAAAAAAAGTCTTCCAAATCTAGATCGTCCTCTGGGAGCTTTGATGACCTTCTTTCTCATCATCATCATAAACAAGCATTACAGGACCTTGATTTAGAACAATACCCAAAAAAAAACCTCTGACATGTGACTGTTCCCACTCGCCTTACAATTACAGCCCCTCTGGCCATGTTATTACTGGGGATCTAAACATAATTCAACATGAAAATCTCCGAAAGGTGATTTCTCATGGTCTTAAGTTTAGAGAACCCCAACACATCAATTTGAACCATAACTTCAAAATAATTATGGATTCCATTGAGGACTACGCCAGAGCATGGGCTAAACGAGAAGAAGTTGAACTTGACACCTTGTCAAAATGGGTCTAAACAATCAGGTCTCTGATAAAACATCGCTTTCATAAGTTGAAAAACTGTGTGAATGATCAACCAAAGTCCGTTTTCAGAGACAAAGAGGCTGTGAAATGTCTATCATCTCTTCATGATAAGTATGTTGTTGTTCCTGCGAACAAAGCTTCAAATAATATTGTCTTTGTATGTGAATCGTATTACTACGAGTGTCTTGTAAAAGAATTAGGAATAAATGAGCACTCAGGTAATCCCACATACAAAAACATATCATTTAACAAAAATGATATTTTGGCGAATCATAAGTCCTTCATGGCTTCAATGAACATTGCATTGAACAACAAATCGGAGGACTTACCTTGTTTGTATTAGATACCTAAACTTCACAAACTTTCGTACAAACAACGGTACATTGCCGGCTCATCTGCATGTTTTGTCCATTAGATTGACTAAAATTCTGTCCGCAATATGATTGGGTTTCAGAAATACTGTGAAACTGTTTACTCGCGTAGTGGTACATGTATTAACCATATGTGGATTCTTAAAAACTCTAAAGAACTTCTGGATAATTTTAAATCTCGGTCTTTTTCTGAAATTAGTTCTATCAAAACTTTTGATTTTTCAACCTTGTATACCACCTTTCCCCATGTGAAATTGAAAAACCGTCTAAAAGAAATAATCCTCAATGCTTTTCAACATAAAAATGGTAGCATACGCTATAAATTTATTACTTTGGGATACCATAAGGCATGTTTTGTTAATAGTGAACAAAAGGGTAAAACATGCTACAAATAGGAACAAGTGATCAGTATGCTGGAGTTTCTTATTGACAACATATTTGTTGAATTTGGAGGTAGACTTTTTCAACAAATTGTCGGCATTCCTATGGGAACGAACTGTGCGCCTCTCCTTGCCGACTTCTTCTTATTTTCATATGAATCGGAGTTCCTTCAGACACTTGTCAAAAACAAGAAGATCAAAGAAGCCAGGTTATTTAATTTCACTTTCAGATATATTGATGATGTTCTTTCCATTAACAAAAACTTTTCTGATTGGGTTCCATTAATATATCCCCCAGAACTAGAAATTAAAGAAACAACAGACACGGCTTCCTCCGCCTCATTTTTAGATTTATACCTCGAATTTGGCATACACAGTCATCTCAGTACCAGAATCTATGACAAACGAGACAATTTTTATTTTGAAATTATCAATTTCCCCCATCTTAGTAGCAATATACCAACTTCACCTGCATATGGGATATACATTTCCCAACTTATTCGGTATTCAAGAGCTTGCAGCTCCTACTCAGACTTTGTAAAACGTCACCAGTGTCTGAGCAGAAAGTTGATGAACCAGGGGTATGTCAAAGAACGGCTCGTCCTGTTTCTAAAAAAGATCATCGGAAGGTACCAAGACCTTGTTGATAAATATTCCGTATCAACTTCACAAATAATACACGATGGTCTTGAAGTATAGATTCTGCGTACTGACGTTGTTTATCATCTTAATAACGTGTTATAGTATTCTTTTATTTTTCTTTATTAATATTACTTTTACTGTTAAGTCTGTTTTTTTTTGTGATATTCATTTGACATGACTCTGTGCTTATGTATCCCGTCATACTTTGAACTACAACATTATTTCATATCTACCGGTGTGACGTCAAACGCGCTATTCTACGCAAGTACATAAAACCTTCCATTCTTTATGGATGGATTTTACATAGATAAATAAAATCGTATAATAAAAAAGCAAAATGAGGATGTTAAGTTTGATGTATGTCTTTTTGTGCTTCTTTGTTACATTTGTTTGTTTTTATAGTGATTAAGATGACAATACAATGATGACTGCTGTACCTCTATTTTTGACATTTTTACATATTATGTCTGTTTGTTTTGTTCACGCATCGTTGCCTTGTTGTGCTTCTTTGTTACATTTGTTTGTTTTTATAGTGATTAAGATGATATCACAATGTTGACTGCTGTACCCCTATTTTTGACATTTTTACCTTTTGTGTCTGTTTTGTTCACGCATCGTTGTCAATATAATGGAATTTCATGCGACTGTCATACAAGTGAGAGGTTTAGCTAGCTCTAAAACCAGGTTCAACCAACCACTTTCTACATAAGAAAATGCCTGTACCAAGTCAGGAATATGACAGTTGTTATACATTCGTTTGATGTGTTTGAGCTTTTGATTTTGCCATTTGATTAGGGACTTTCCTTTTTGAATATTCCTAGGAGTTCCGTATTTTTGTGATTTTACTTTTTGGTTAAACACTTTAGTCAAACCTACAATTCAGAGGGTTTTTATGGATACATATGTAACTCTATATAAGGCCGCCCAGACAGCAAATGTATTAATAGTTTAAATGTTAGCACATGAGATCACCCTCCAGTTTTTAGTGGGGTTCGTGTTGCTCTGTCTCTAGTTTTCTATGTTTTGTTTTGTGTACTGTTGTTTTTCTTTTTTAGCATGGCGTTGTCAGCTTATTTTCGACTTATGAGTTTGAATGTCCCTTTGGTATCTTTCGCCTCTCTTTACAAAGTATGTTTATTTTGGTGGAAGGGGTTATTTAATTTCATTCACCGACTGCTTTTAAAGCTCGATGTGGTCTTGATACACCTAGTATTGAAATCATTGGGTCGATCAACGGGCTTAATGGTCCTTCTCTTTTGCAACTTAAATACCGAAAATTATTTTTGTATGATTTAAAATTTAAATTAAGAAAACATGATTTTATCTTATGACATCACTTCTGATTAATTCAAAACTTACTCAACTTGAAAGTTACGACAAGAAATACAATATAACTGAGAAAATTCAGATAGAACGAATTGTATATTTATCTATTAGTGTACTAGTATTTTGTATTAAGAAGAACACGAGTATAGTTTTTTTCTTTTTTTTTTTTTTCTTAAAAGTCTTTTTTAAAATAAAAATATATCGTTTCATATTTGATTTCAATTTGTATAATTAGTTTTCTTCACAGCTTTAAAATAGTTCTTTTACCTTACAAAGTATGTGAAATACGTAGAATCTGCAGCTGTATCTTAAAAAATCTAGTTGACTTACTAGCATATAAGTTTAATTGTAATTTTTGTGAAATCAACATAAACGTAGCTTTGTTACTGCATAGCGAAATTCTATTATTTTTGTGCTGGTCTATATACTTATACTACTTTTAGTATCAGTATATATCTATCGGTTGTCTTGTAACAACGCATGTTTTCGTCAAAGTCCCCCGTGTATGACAAAGCACAGGCCAAAGATCTTACCAGTTGAAGCTATCATCATTAAATACGATGATGTATTAAAATAGTACAGCGGATCTTCATATATTGTTGGACTATCTTCTAAATGGTCAAAAAAGCTGAAAATATATAATTAAAGTCAATGTCTCAAACCTGTGATTTCTACTTAATTAATATTATATATTATTAACTTAATTTAACTAGTTTTTAGTAGATATAGTATATTTTAAAAGTTACTGATTGTGTTTGGTTAAAATTGCCGAATCTACAAATTGCATGCAAATATTTTGAATACATTGTTTTCAAATTTGTTTACGTCCTCTATTCATTGAAAGTGAGGTCACTGAATGCCACTGATTACCGAGTAACACGATGGGAGTCACTGGTGGAGCAGAAACTGCTTAAACATACCAGTACTAACATGACCAACACGACGGGTGTCCCATGTGGAGCAGGATCTGCTTACCCTTCCGGAGCACATGAGATCACCCAAAGTTTTTGATGGGGCTCGTGTTGCTCAGTCTTTAGTTTTTATGTTGTTTTTATACTATTGTTTGTCTTTTTGTCTTTTTGTCTTTTTTAGCCATGGCGTTGTCAGTTTATTTTCGACTTATGAGTTTGAATGTCCCTTTGGTATCTTTCGCCTCTTTTCCCTCCTATTGTTTGTGCTACTAATTCTCTAGTTTTATGTGTCTGTTGGGGAATGTTGTTCTTCTTTTCGTCGTTTTTTAGTCTGGTTGTTGTTGTTACCTTATTTTATTTGACTGATGGGTTTCCATTGTCCCCTTTGGTATAGTCTCCTTGTTTTTTCTTATCAAGTCTAACCAAGTGCTTATAGTGAAGCGGAATATTTATAAAATGAATGAAAGCGAGTTTTGCTTATAACATCAGTTATAGTTAACAAATAGCTGTTGTCACGAATCGTTATATGGCAGTGCGGTTATGGCGTTCGCGGTCATTTCCCTAAAAAGAAACATCTGTCTATATAGTTTTGGGGAGATTTACGATCAGTTCTTTACGTTTTGAATTTTTCCTTGGAGTATTTTTGTCATTTTACTTTTGACCTAGGTTACATACATTACATTTTATTGTACAGTGAACTGTTAAAGTCATCAAACAAACATTAGACTTTTGTTTTTCTCCGGTAAATACAAAACATTTTAAATCATATTTTTATATATCGGTATTTTATTCAATAGACATAAAAACCTTTCAAAATTCTGAAATTTAATTGCTCCGTTCTCGATAACATGATAAGTGGAAATATTTTTATGATTGTTATGCTGAAATATTGTAAAAAATTATGATTTTTTTTCAAAACGATTGATGTTCTTGTGACGTCACAGTACAATGTAATTATTGACCCACACTCCCGGTCAAATATACGATATATCGAACGACTGATGTTCATAATAAAAATTGAAGCAATATATGTTAAAAATATAATATTTGTTATAGTTTGAATATTATGCCTGTTATCAAATTATGGATAGTAAAGACAAATATTTAATGTAGTGCAGTACAACGATAATGGATGATGAATTGCTGTTTGACGTCTCATGGCGCATTGAATGCATATTCACAGCGAGAAAATTATAATACGATAGGAATATGAACCATGCTTTATATAAATAAAGGCAACAGTAGTATACCGCTGTTCGAAACTCATAAATCGATAGAGATAAAAACAAATCCGGGTTACAAACTAAAACTGAGGGAAACGCATCAAATATAAGAGGAGAACAACGACACAACAAAAACACAACATTAAAATGTAACACACACAGAAACGAACTATAATACAACAATGGCCATTTTCCTGTCTTGGTACAGGACATTTTAAGAAAAAAATGGTGGGTTGAACCATATAAGACACGCTGAGCCGGATTTTTAATGTGCTAGTTCATCAGGTTACCGCAGGAATATATGTATAATATTCTGACTCCGAGCCGACCAGTCTTTGCTCGTACTCCTTAATGCCGCGTGAATAGCGGAGAAGAAGCAAATACTTATTTTAAAGTCTATGATTTGACCCGCTCATGATCAAATCTACGACCTCCTGTATTCGAGACGAACACGCTGCCAAAAGACCTCCGAGGCGGTTTAGCGTGGAACGAAGAACGGCCTTTACAAAACATTCGTCTTGAAATGAAAATTTTAAATTATTTAAAAGCTTTAAACAAATTAAAGATACAATGAAATGCGCACATAAACACACAAATGGACACAATTAAAAAGAGAACGGTAATAAAATTAATTCGACTAATTAATTGCTTGGTCTATTAATAGTTATTTGCTTAAACTCCTGATTTAGCATTAAATATTTAATGCATAATCCGGACGATAACAAACGCACAGAAATATATAAGTGATTCTAAAAATACTCTAATGTTTCAACTCTGTACTATGATCACCAGTTATGTCCTTTAACACGTTTTAATGCGTTTCAAATACTATATTAAGAAGATTTGAAACTGTAATAGCTATTCCTGATTAAATGGCCATTCAACTATTGTTCATTCTCTGTGAGCCCTTATAACAATATGATTTATCTGACCTATTTTTGTTTGAAATGAGAGATTACAATTTTATATTTGGGATTATTTCAATATTAAACAGTGATTTTCTTTATCCAAATAATATAGCATTGTCGGGGGAATGCTAACACAGTGTTGCAACTTTAAAAGATTTTAATATACAAAATAGATCTTAATACGTGTGGTTGTAACTAAAGATTAATCCTATCGCAAAGTCGAATTATGTCATATATAGACTTCTATAAATTTACCTAAGAATGTAACTTTAAAGTTGCACATGTTACAGTCTTAGGCATTTATAAAATTCATTTTAGTAACTGCAACAGTTTATTTTCAAACTGATCCACGCCAAGATAGATTGAATATTGATTGTTGCTATTTTTAGACCCTATATATATGTGTATAATATAAAAATACTTTACAAATGTACTATCATGATTATTGTATAAATCGTTTTCATATGACTTAATTATTGGATTTCCGGAACACGTTTTTATACTGTCAATAACATATTGTCTATGACATAAAATACAGTTTTGATTGTTGTAAAAAGAGGGAATGTCCTTTACAGAATATTAAACATGTTAAATGATTGATACTTTTACAAAGTTTTGCATTTAATTCATTCTTTTTAAATGACAGTGAATCTTTTATTTTCACGTGCTATTAATCTTCTCTAAAACAGACCATTGATATAACAAAGGTATCGAGGCGCCTCTTCAGCCGCCCTATGAAAATCGACAAGATATCTACTTTCATCTTTGTCAATACAAATAAGTAAGAATTGATTTTTGTAGGGATATAACTCGCGCTCAACATACCTCAAAATACTCCAAATACCAACCAACAATCCATGCAGTAATGATACGGATAGATTTCTCCATAACCACGAGTCATACACTGAATATGATGATGCTTTTGGTGTGCCATAATGTTTGATTAATCGATTTGTAACTGAAAAGAAAATCACAACAAGAGCAAAGAAAATATACGTGTACCAGAATTCAAAATCTCTAACTCCTTGTTCATGACCAAAGTCATCATCTGATATCTTGGTATGAATTAACACTGTATTCACACGCTCTTTTCCGGTATCCATATTTTATATATCATAACACAAATCAGAAATACAAAAATGGCTTGTAACAGGATTTACATTTTTACGTTCAAACACCATGTCGCGCTACACGTGATCAAACTGTTGTACTAACATGTTATAATATAAAGTTTAATCTTATTTCTATATCATTTAAAGTATATGAATGATTTTCTATACTATTGGTAACAAATGTGATTTTTACGGATAAGTTTAGTACACTGTTGTTGACTGATTTGATGGGATATGTAAATTCGACCACAATGAAGATATTTAAATACGAAAAAAGTATATCAGAAGGTGGTTACTTCTGGAATATGAACAAATGTTACTTTGTGTTATAATGTATCGAATAATAATCAAAATAAATATTTATCCAATACTGAATATGGTATAAGTACATGTACAAATAATGAATAAGATTTTTACGGATAAAGTTAGTACGTAGTAGCTGACTGATTTAATGGTATATGTAAATTCGAGTACAGTGCACATTTTTGAATATAAATACTTGTATATATGTTACAGTGAATTTGTATAATCAGGGATTATGTAGAATCCCTGAATTTTCAGGGATTATGTAGAATCACTAAAATCATTAGTGATTATATAGATTCCCTGAAAATGACCAGTGATTTTATATAATCACTGATAATTTTAATTATTATTCTACAAATTCCCTAATATGATTTCAGGGATTATCAATAATTAAAAGCTCCAAAGATGATGAAACAAATTAACATAGACAAATTATCATTTTTTTTTCTTATTCCTTGAAAGTTTAAGTAAACAGTTTTCATTCCTGATCTACTATGTGAATCTTAAGTGATGAGTTTTTCCCTTTACATTTTATTCAAGTGTTGAACCTCATTATGTCACTAACAAATAAGCTCGGCACAGGCACAGATGTTGCTTGGGTTGAAGAAAACGTATGCTCAAAAGTTAATGCAAATTGCAGAGGAAAAACAAAATGCAACATATGCATATCTCATACCATGGAAGTAATATTTAACTGGCGTTGTTGTTATTCCTTTCAATATTACTTCCATGATCATACCAATTCCACTAGTGGTTCCAGGAAAGGGAGATCCCAAAAAACATAAAGGTCATTATTCACGAAAAGACTGTAGAAGGATATCGCCTTGCCATATAGCATGGAATCCTGCTCGGATCTTTAATACAAGAAATCAGTTTGAGGTTGCTGATTTCCCTTCATTGGTACCTTCAGATGTTTGTGCTGAAAACTCTATTTCTCTGAGACGTGCCATAAAATCTGATTCAATATGGAGGACAAGGTTGTTTTTAAATGTTGATATTGTGGTAAAAACAGATGTGAATTTGATAGGTATGCCTGTAGAAAAGCAGGGCACATGTGTAATAGTCGATGCCATCCAAATTTAGTTTGTAAATAAAATGTTTATTTTTAAAATATTGTGCATAACATTTGACTTCATTCATACAATGGACGAACATTTATCAAAACGATTGTACGCATAAAAATAGTTTTAATGACAATTTCATTTTATTTCATATTCTCAACCTAAAAACAATTGCTAAAACAATCAGATAAAAAGAATAATCATTATGCCATTTAATATTTTCATACTGACTTCATCAACCCGCCCTTGTGGGCTTGCTTGATATTATTAATACTGATAAAGTCAGTGTCAAAAAGGGCTCGCTTGATATTATTACTGATAAAGTCAGTATTAAAAAAAAAACAATTATTCTATATATATTTTGCTTATCATTTAATTATATTGTGCTTATCATCTAATTATATTGTGTATAACATTTCAGTATTTTTATGTCTATCATATTAATATATTATGCCTAACGTTTTAACATATTAAGGTTATTATTTTGATATATTACGGTTAACTTTAAATATATTTCAATATGTTATATATTTTAATATCATTTCAGTTATTCTGTATAATCCCTGACGTTTTTTCTAGTGATTATACATAATCCCTGAAAATTTTAGTGATTATATATAATCCCTAAACTAACCAGTGATTATACATAATCCCTGAAAATTTTAGGGATTCTACATAATCCCTGATTATACAAATTCACTGTAACATATATATATATATATATATATATATATATATATGAGTCTAAAAGATTGTGTAACAATACCGATAAATAGATATATATATATCAGTAGGTGATTTCTTCTGAAGTCAGATCACATGTTACTTTACCATATAATGTATCTCATAATAATTAAAAGAAAAATTAATTCAGGACTGAATATGGTATAAGTTCAGAAATGTATAGTTCGGCAGAAGTTACATAACAACGCTACGTGTGCCTATTAGCTTTCGTAATCAGTATCATTAATTTTTTTCTTTACGAAAGATGAAATCCAACTTCAAATTATCATATTTTTGTATAGATTAGAACGTATGAACAGAAAAATCGGACAAATAAAACATAATTTTCAATTCAGTAAATGTAAATATTTGAAATATTTGCATATCAAGTTTTGAAAAACGATTAAGAATTAAAAGAAGGGTTACCAATACGCCATTTTATGTGTTTAGAAAAAAAACTTTAAATACCCGGAAAGCGTTTTTTGTTCTTACCGGCTGCTTTTTTATACATTGGTCATGCGTCCTATTTACAACGGTGTATCATTATATCTTTGTTTTAATTAAAAACCTTACTTAATTAAATATCCATTGAGTCTGAAAAGAAATACACTAAAAAAAGTAAATGGATGAAAGTTTGATCTTTAATTTTCCAGTCAAATGGTTAACTTATCCGATGCATATTATACCTTACAGCAATAACATTTGCCGTATAGTTGTAACTTTCATATAGATATTTCACAATTTATCATGTATTTCCTCAGGCTTGTTTGATCTTGTATTGACAAATATTCTTGGACTTCGATGATTGAGTTCAATCCATTTTCATTATTCTACGAGGGATTTTTTTTTATTCTAGGAAACCAAAATTTTGATTTAATCAAGAATTATTCCAGTTTTTTGGCACATCTGAAAAAGAGACTGCATGGTCCGAAATTACCATTGTATTACAAAAATGAGGCGAAAGTTACCTAATGGATATTCAAATTCAAAGTAACTGAAAACGCCATGGCAAAAATCTACGATAGCTGTACACATATCTTGTGTCATGGGGATCATTGTGAAAAAGAGGTGGAAGACACCAATGGTACATCAAACATGGAACAGAAACTAATCGTCATGACACCGATAGACGACGAAGACACAAAAACATTCACAAAACACTACATAGAAACATAAAGGCTGAGAAAGAAGAACTCAATCAAAAGCCCGGGATGATTTCAGTTGCTCCGAAAATGTTGGCAAATCCTGCTCCACTAGTGAAACCAATTGTTGCTCATGGTTTGTAAACATTCAAAGATAAGTCTCATTCGGTATTAAGGTGAAAAGTTTATATATAAAACGCAAAGGTTTTGTTGTGTTTTTATTTAAACAAGTAGTATTACGAATTAACCGCAATACAGAGACACTTACTTATGCAACTCTAATTGTTAACGTAACGTATTGTAACGTCATATCATTATTACGCTTATTGTATGCATAACGTCTCTAGTCAGTATAGTAAACAGAGTTTGAAATGTACACACGTCTTTCTATAATTTACACAAGCGAAGTACTACCACTAAACCCAAACATTGGTGCCGTGACTTATGAAGAAGTTTAAGGCTATACGTGGCGGACACAGAAGCGCCGTTACCAGACTAATTCACAGAACAGATGAAAAAATTGCCGAAAATGAAATTTCTAATCAGGAACTCTGTGCAACAGTTGAAACACTCGAGAAGAAAAGAGACGTTTTACAGGATTTGGACAACAAGATTATTGACATTACGGAAGTCGGAGAAATGGAACAAGAAATATTGGATACGGATGACTACACTTTTCAGATGGAAATCACTATTCGCAAATTTAAGGATATACTGTCAGACTCAAAGGCAAGTGTACCACAACAAATGGTGAGTAATTATGCACATTCTTCATCGCATCACACTACTAATACTATACTCAATCAGAATTGTAATCAAACTCATGAAGATTTAGAAACAAACCCGTCACAACATATTCCCGTAATCCCGTCAAACCTTTATCACAGGCTACCTAAACTTGAATTACCGACATTTTCCGGGGATATCTTAGCATGGCAAACCTTCTGGGATTCTTTCCAAACAACAGTACACACAAATCCGTCTCTCACAAATGTACAGAAATTCAGCTACTTAAAATCCCAAATCGTTCAGGAAGCTGAGCAATGCATTTCAGGACTAGCTCTCACTAGCGCCAACTATGAACAAGCAATTCATCTATTAAAGGAGCGTTTTGGACAAAAACAACACATTATCAACGCATACATGCAAAACTTATTGGAACTGCCCAGCCCGTCACTATCGCCAACCAATCTTAGACATTTTAACGACAAAATGGAAACCAGTATACGGGGTTTAGAGTCACTAGGACAATCTCAGGATACCTTTGGGTCACTACTGGTCCCGATTATATTTGGTAAACTTCCCACTGAAATGCGTAAAAGTCTAACTCGGGAACATTGTAATAATAGCTGGGATATTAGGTCATTGAGAGAAGCCATTGGCAAAGAAGCATATGTACAGGAAGCAGGAAATTTCAAAATGTCCGACACTTTGACACCTACCGCATCATTCCATACTGGAGCAACACCAAGGTACAACACTAGTATACAACAGAACGGAGGAAATAAGAACAAAAAAAATAAGGTAAAATTATGCGTGTTTTGCCAAGAACAACATTTTGCATCTGAGTGCACAAAAGTAGCAACGAATGAAAAGCGCTATGCGTTTATCAAACAGAAAAAGCTTTGTTTTAACTGCTTTGGAAGTCACAAAATTTCAGAGTGTACGTCTAAATATACATGTCGAAAATGCAACAGAAAGCATCACACTAGCTTATGTCATAAGAAACAACACACTGAGAACCAAACAACCAGACAAACAAGCGCAGCCGTAAATACTATGAATAGTGAAGTAGAAACACACACAGCTACAGTTTACACATCGTATGAAAATCCCGTGAAACAGAGAACCGACGTACTCTTAAAAACAGCAGTATCA